ATTAAACTATTAAGAATATCTTCGACTGTTGAGTTTATAGAGAATGTCGTTAATAAAGCTTGGTCAAGAGAGGTGACATTCATTGGTGAAGCTCCTTCAAAATATGATTCTACTTTAGCTATACATGTTTGATTATAAAAACACCGAAGATCAGATTGAAGTAATGATCTAACAATGAAACATCCACTGATCATACCGGGTACCGAGTATACTACTGTATTGCTATTATCTCGATAAATTGGAGAAATATAACCACATGTGGCTGAACTTACACAACTACAACTACCATACCAATATATATATGGATATAAACGTAGATAACCATTATATACATAAATTCCATAGTTTGTTATTTTTCCAGACAGTAATGCATTACTTTGAGTCATTTGTTCTATTGTCGAAAGTGATAATAAAAAGTCATTCGTCATTATTAATATAAATTGAGTAATGAAAGAGTCAGCTTGAAGTTGAAAGGTTTCTAAAGGTACAACAAATGCACTAATAAATTGATTTGAATAAAACTGTGTCAAACGATTACTGATTGTTTGATCGGCTAAATTACAAAATGTAGTCAATGCTTGAAATGTAAATGGAACTGTCTCTCGAAAATCATAAGGTAACAGAAAAATATTTCCACGACTATTGAATAGATAATTAATCCACTTTTGACTAACAAAATCACTGTTACATAAATGATGAAATGTGTATTTAATATCAAGAAATTTGTCGTAACTGATGGATATTTGTGCACAATCGCATTTTAATGTTTGCGAATAAGTTGAATATAGATTAGAGTATTGCTGAATTGTTGGTGTTTTAATATTAATAGTTTGTGTAATATCGATTAATGAAGTATAGAGAAGAAGAATAGTTAATGATAAAGCCAAAAAAATAATGAATAATCTTGTTGAGATACGTTGATTTCGAAGTTTATGCTGATCATTTGTAGGTGGAATCGATGAAAATAAATTACAATTCATTAAATAATCTTTTGATTTGTATTTTATCAATTGTATTCGTACTTTAATACTCATCGCTTAAAAAATAAATCAAACAAAAGTTAACTTAATGAAAATAAAGAAATATCTTTTCACTGTCTTTGAAAATTTCGCTCGCAGTCATTTCTTGGACTATAACTATAAAAAACTCTACAGATATTTATGTTTACTTCAATAAGAAAAAGTTAATTCAAAGTCATTTAATTCCTTCTCCCTCTTAAGTTGACTTTATTTCACAGATGTTAAACTTTATCTTACCAGCTTCTGGATTTGTTATTTGTTTTTTTCTTCTTATAAAACGCACTAAAAATGGCACAACTATTTTCAACATTGTTATCAAACCACCAATTAATCCAATGATTGTAGTAATTATATAAATGGCATTATTCTTTGTTTGATGAGTATAAGTACATTGTAATGGTCGACATTCATTATAATAGTTTTCATATATGATTGATCTAT